TGAGTATGTATATTTTTCAGCCAACTAGGTCCGTTCCACCATATATTTAAGCCTTTCATTAAAATTTAGTACTTTCGTCTATTAAAACACTTTCCATATGATCTAGTTTTAAATATTCATTTATAAATTTAGAATAAAAATTATTTAGTTCGATACAAGTGTGAAAGCGACGTTCTAATGATAAAAACCGTTTTAAAGCGATATGATATGATTTACCTAGTAGAGAATGATCCTTGAATGGCAATGCTACCACAAAACGTCCTTTTTCATTTCGTTTGGTATTATTTAATAAAAAAATTTATGCTACTATGTAATTATAAATTATGAATTATTATTAGGTTATTAAAATTGTATTTCGCAGATTAGAACTTAACGTAAAATTGTATTTAGTAGTGTTAGAAATTTATTAATTTCTAATTTAATTTACTGCAACCCCGAAAAAAAATATAAATACCACATTAATTTTGGGGAAATTGAAGTCAGTTCCCAAAAATGGAATCTATTCATTATTATAATACAAAAAAAAACATTAAATATAAATATATAAAATATAATTTCTCGTAATCGTTACTGTTAAAAATTGTTAATTATTATTAGCAAATACAAGCGAACATTATGTTATATATTAGTGGCTGCACTGTTAAGCAGCTAGCGTCTTTGTCCCCTCTTTGATTAAGATGTATTAATGATGTAATAAGCAGAAGCTCTTATGATTATTATTAAAATAAAGTTTTTACTGTAAAACTTAACTTGTTCTCTTTTTTAAAATATGTATTATTAAAATACATAACACATTATTAAAAAAAATTTAGTATCTTAGATTTAAAATTTGAAATTTAATCATATAAACTAGGCTAAAATGATAGAACTATTATCATGAAAATTATTTTAATAGTAAATTACATTTGAATATTTAACATAACTTTATTCGTTTTTTTTTTCATAATTTTTATTATGTAATTATTATAACTCGAAAATTAACTTAATACTTTTATTAGATATTAAAATTAAATTTTAAAATGTTTGAGTTTATATACATATATAATACACGGAAAATTCAACTACAAATATCTATTTGATTTTTAATGCTTTCTGTATAGCCAGTTGGTGTATTTAAAAAATTACCACAATATACCTTACTATCATACTTTAAGAATATTTGTTAACAAAGTCATAATTGATACTTTATCTAACTACACTTATTATCTATACTAAATAAGAGTTTTAATTCGTCCTAGAACTAGGCTCAACACGAATAGAGAACTTCTTATGCACATTCTTATTCAAATTATTTAAAATAGTGATTTTAATTGCTTTTAAATCAAAATCTAAACGGGTTTCCCATTTCTTTTTGGAATTTACTAGCGCAACTAGAATTAATACTTTACACGGTGTTATTATTATTTTTTCACATTAAAAACTATTTTTATATAAAAACACAGATATATCCTACATTTTTTGTAAATTACCATAGCCTCTAGTTGTGCCTATTCAACTAAATGTATTAAATTTTTGGAATAAATTTCACTTCACTTTAGACTCTAATCATAACTTATTTGGATTTCCACCCACAAAAAAATATTGAATACATAAATTATAATGTACGAGAAATTTAGTGTTTAGATAAAAAAAAAAGTGTGTAGTAATGTAATTGTTATAAAAATTATTTGACTATGTGAATTAAAAAAAAAAAAATTCTGTTCTTATATTAAAGATACCTCTAAAATTATCACAATTCAATAGCCTTATTATGTATAATCATTAATAGTTAAATATCTTTGAATGTATCAATTTATTTAAGATACATTGAACAAATGACTTTTTAGTGGCAAATGTTAAAACTCCTACATGCGACATATCTTTTTGAAAATGTTAGCATAGTACAGCCAGTTTTTAACACGCTTATATTAGTTTCACGTGTATGTTGTTTGTTGTTTGTCGTTTGTAAGTTTGTAACTCCACGCGGCACGTGTTATTATGTCGCGTATCCCGTCGTGTATGACCTTGAGACTATACTGTTGTAACGCATTCGCCCCACCCCGCTCATCACTCGTAGAGAACAATATTTTCCAACCCGTAGACGCGCGCTTATCATCAATTATATATATATATATATAACAAATCTTTATTGTAATTGACACAGCCACGCGTCGTTTTAAGCCGCGGTGCAAAGTCCAGCAAGTGCCGCACGGCCAACGACGTCCCGCCGCTATACCGTAGTCTTCTTCCCATTGTCAAAATAACATCGTCAACAAACTGATCCGCACTCGCGCACCGTCGTCATCTACGCTGCTAATTTATTGACGCCCGAGGATCACGCCGGACATCGCGTCTTCGACGCCAGCAAAAGTGCCGCGATATTATGCGAAGAT